CTGGCTAACAAACCTGATGAACGCCTTTGTGAGCACTGCGTCAGTGATATGGGCCAAGAGTCAGACACAGTGTTCTTGGTCTTTACACTGTTTTCCAGCACAGTTTCTCAGGTAGAGCTAACATTTAAGGTTGCAAAGTGCATGTCATTATTCAGCCTGATAAAGAATGAGTTTATTAATGTTTAGGGAGAAAGGTGGGAAAGAATAAGGAATCATGTGGAAGTTTGTTAAGAGAAGAAGAGCTTTTGGGGTGGTTAAGTTCACTTTCATCTTTCTTTACTTGCAGGTGACCTGGTGTTTAAGCCATTAACCAATTTCAGTCTCTCACACCTGGAAAAGTTAATACACAGCAGGACATGCAGAGCTTACAAACCAGTAGGGCTAGCTAATACTACAGACAAAATAAATTGAAATACAGCAGCAAAACCAACTGTCTTCCAAAGAAGGCAGATGCTACAAAGTGTTGTGTAGGAAAGTTTCTTGTGCAATCGTACAAACAAAGGTTTTAGGGTGGGTGGCATCTCCCCAAAAGTCTGGGGAGATGAGAAAGTGGGATTTGCACTTTCACTAGAGAATTGCAGTCATGATATTGTCCTCCTCACTTCTTTGGCAGATGATCGGTGCTGACATTCCGGCATCACTGAACTCTTTGAACCCAAAGACCTCAGCTAGGACTGGAAAAGGATTGTAAAAGATCTCTTGAACTTTTCCTTCATATTCTCATCCATACACACTACCCTGTGATTCTCAAATAGGCATAGCTTGCAAGAGAAGAATATGTGCTGGGTTGCTTGTACAGAGCATTTGCTGCAGTAATGCCACTTACTTGGATGGAGATAAAATCCCAATGAGCTGTAGGTATCTGAGGTACAAACTTCCAGTGTATCTTCCTAGTGTTAGGAAGTCTGGAAAACCAATTATTGAAATGCATTGCACTGAAATCCACCGGAGAACAGGAAAAATTTTAATGACACAGAGGATCAAGTGATTATGAAAAGTAGGCTTCTTCTTGTTACAGAAAAATCAATGTTAGAAGGACAAATGGATCACTACTGGAATGGGCATAGTGTCCTTTCACCAACTCCTTTGTGCCTTCAGAAGGACTTTGATCTGTGACCACATCACATGGGAAAGTGATTCAGCTGATACAGTTGATCAATTCACAGTTATAACAAGTGTTTTCCAGAGCTGATGTCTAAAGAGACACACTGAATTAAAAACTAAAATGTTCAGTTCTGTGAGCTTTTAACCAGAGTCTGGATTTGGTCAGTACTTAGGATATTGGTTTTTATTGTTCTCATGTTCCTGTAGAAATCAGCTATAAAGCACTGATATCAGACAAATCTATTATTAGGCTATTACTGGCATTGTAGGATTTGCTTCTGTTGGACTTGAAGCAAATTCTACTTGACATAGAACTGGAATGATCGGCAAATAGACTTTAAACTATCTAAACCACTGAAAGTCATGTACAAGCTTTGATTTAAAAAAGACTAAGCTGTCTCGTTTTTTAAAAATGTAAATATGGGATGTCTTGACTTTTCAATGCACTCAAGATTGGGAAGCTTAGCAATAAAACTATGGTTACATTTACCACTTCTTTGAGACTGAATCTATAATTATAGACAAAAAATTGATAGACTTTTATGCTGGCAGTCTGACTAGCAAGTACTGGACATCTGTCCAAGCTTCCAGCGCACTGCATGGTATCAAAATTATTCTTGCTCTGATGAGTCTTGATCCTTGTAAAGGATCCATAAATGAGGTCAGCATTCTTGAGACGCTGGCCTTGTCTCTTCCATGGGAAAGGGCATAGCAAAGAAGCTGTGGTAATACTGTAGTGAATATGTATATACAGAATATGTAGTACTAGACTTGAGATTCAAATCAAGACTTCAGATTAAGATTCAAAATATCCATAGGCCTCTGAAGAAGGACTTAGACATGAAGCTGCAACACTGAGATCCTCCAAATCTCTCTTTGGTGCTGCCTTGCCTCAAAGGCAGCAAAAGCCTTTCATTAATGAAAACTTGACTAATTCTCTGCCTTGGCCATGTGCCTCATCATCTCAGTGTTGACAGGGCATGACAGTTACCTCCTACTCGTGTCCTATGGGAACCATAAAATAGTGGTTCCATTGCCTGTCTCACCTGCAGGGTTTGAAGCAGTAGGTGTTCCCTGAGCGTGCCTGGTGCATCAGATCCTACACAAACTGTATATAAGCAGATTCTGCTTTGTTACAAATTGTGTCTTCCAGGAGGCAGTGGTGGGAGTTGTACTTTGAAACAGACAGCAACAGGACAGCACGAGTAAGTTGCTGAAACAGGAATGGAACACAGGTTTGCTATACCAAATATTACTGTTCTTCAGCGTCATGTTTGACGTCCATTTCTTTGTTTCTCTCTTTCTCACTCTTAAGGAGTACAGTGGTCACATTTCTTCCATATAGAAGTATCCTAGAAAAGCTGGTAGCCTGTGATGTGCTTGCTAGGGAAAAGAGGTAGAGAAGAGACTGAATCCAGGTATCCAAGACATGAGAGATTGCAAACAATCATGTTCTGCCACCTTGTTTCATCCTCTGCCTTTAAATCTAAAAATACATTTGCTTTCTTTTCGAATGAATGAATGCAAATGCCAAACGGAAAAAAATGCTTCCTGGTTGTAATAAGTGGGACTCCTAAGTCATATTGGCCTCAGGATATTCTCTGAGCTGAAACCAGTCATAAAATGAGAGAGTATTAGTAGAAAATGCCATATATGCTTTCCATCCTCTTACTTTTAATTATCTGTCTGGTAGATGACTTGGAATACCAGATGAACACTGGGTCTGAGCCTATGTACTGCTCTGGGATTCTTACATAATGTCCCTTTGTGGAACTGCTCAATAAGATGCTCAGCCTTTGACTTAAGATGAAAAATGCTTCATCTTATTTCAAACTAACTTGAAAAAGAGTCATGTTATGCAAACAGCCTATCAAAAAAAATCTTAGGATGTTAGTGCAGAAATTTTTTCTACTTATTCTAAGAGTAGGATTTTTTTGAAATTGACCTCTTACAACAGAGATGAAAAAGATGAACTGATTAGTCTCAATCATTAATTAGTAGCAATAACTCTTGTCTTTTGCCATCTGTGAATCTCAACTCAGTAACTCAGCAGGAAAATAAGGAGAAAATGTCTTTTGAAGTATTCTTAAAACTAGGGTTATCAAGAAAATTTGGGGCTATTCCCTTTTCTTTGAAATGGTACAACAGGCTGCCTGCTAGTGCATTGCCACTGAGACTTGTATGCCTTTGACACAGCAAATACAAATTTTGTGGAACATAAAAAGATGAACTAAATTGTCTGCAAATATGAACTGTCCTATGTACTTAATTCCTAGCACCATACTTGGTCACTGACCCCTAATTCCATGTACAAATAAATTACTCTGCAACCAAATATTTAAGGGTCCTCATCGCACCTGAGTGTCTTAGGTGAAGTACATTTTACTTAAAACTTTATAAACATAGAAGCAAATACTTGACTACTCTGGGCCAATATGTCACCAGACTGCACAGCTGTGCATCTGCAAAAATATGGCAATAATGAGGATGCAACACAGCTCCTATTTTAAAATTTTAAATATTTCCTAACAAGTTAAGTGCATTAAAATTCCTTTTTTTTTTTAAGTTTACAGATCTCGAAGCTGTTTCAGTTCTGAGGTAGGATTTGCAAATGCACTAGTAAGCTTACACAAGCTAGAAAATATAAATGTATATGTGCCATACATGTTATGGAGCTAGACTGCTCTGGTCTGTCAGCAGCTTGCTCTGACGTTTTTCTACCAGTGTTGACAGTTTATGACATACTGTACCAACACAAGGTACATTATTAATAACTTGAAAGAAAGAAATGGTCAAAAAGACATTGCTTTTTTTTTTTTTTTTTTTTTTGGCTAGAGCTTTAGCCTGTGACTGCAATGTTTGGCAGCACCATAATTTTGTAGCTGAAGTGGAATAAAACATTCTTTAAAATGGAATTTGTTACCAAAGAGAAAAGGGTACGGCTTTCATACATAAAAACCTTTCTCATTTCTGCAACATCCATTGTTAGGTAGTACAAAACATGAATCTCAAATATCACTGAAATTTTCCAAAACTTACAAGAGGAATAATAGATAGGACAGCATCTCCAGCCTGTTGATTTTAAAAAAGGAGCTGGAAAGATACAGCTCCCCATCCAAACAGGCAATCTTGTGTTTTGCTTGATGCAGTAGTTACATTGTGGAGAGACTGCCACAGCACTAGTCTTTATAGCCTCCATCATACAAAGCAACAGAAATGGTCACAGACGAGCAGCTGGAGTCAGTGAAGTAGAGACTCATTTCACACATGGCAAGAAAGAAGACAGAAAAACTATCATTCATTGCTGGTATGAATTGTGGAAAGCATTTTAACAACCTTAGTACCATTTTACTTTGGAACTTTGAAACACCCTCCATCAGTGTCAGAGGAGTATGTCTTCTGTACTGCAGAAATACCACACACAAACCTGTTCTTTCTCCTTTTCTCACAAAGAAGTATAAAAAGCCTTACTGACCAATATTTTCACACATTTATAACAACGTGTTGTGTGCTGTATTGACAATTCAGCCAATGCTGGTTCAAAGGCAAATATTTTTTTTCTTTGGAATTGACTCTCAGTAGCCTTGTTTGGAATACTACTGATTGCTAATTATCTAACAAGGTTCAAAACTACTAGGAATTGACAGGAGTGAAACACTGTTATTTAAGAAAAATCTGTTTCTCCTTGCAGCTTCTGTAAGACAGAAAGAAGTCAGCTTCTAAATCTGCAACTGAACTTCCAGTGTTTTAAAGAAAATGTGATATTTTCCTGCCTAGCCTCTCATGTCTTGCTCTTGGTTTACTACATCTAAATGCAAAGGACTTTCCTTCCTAGCCCTACAGGCAACTATGAAGCATTTCATTGTTGTTCAAGCAGGGAATGTCATAAGAGACAGACTGATAGACACAGTGAAAAATGAGACCTTTAAGCGTTATTGCTGGAGTTCTTTCCACCTGTCACAGGTCTTAATCCACATCTTAAGAACCCCCCTTTCCAGGTATAGTCTGATGAGGTCTATGGTCAGACCCCACCTCAAGTACTGCATCCAGCTCCGGAGTCTTCAACACAGGAAGAACACTGACCTGTTGGAGCAAGTCCAAAGGAGGGCCACCAAGCTGATCAGAGGGATGGAGCACCTGTCTTATGAGCATAGGCTGAGAGAACTGTGATTGTTCAGCCTGGAAAAGAGAAGGCTGCAGGATGACTTAATTGTGGCCTTCTAGTACCTGAGGGGAACTTATAGGAAAGATGGGGCAAGACTATTTACAAGAGCATGTAAGTGACAGAACAAGGGGAATGGGTTCAAACTGAAAGACAGTAGGTACTAGTAAAAAATTCTTTACTGCGAGGGTGATGAGGCACAGGAACAGGTTGCCCAGGGAAGCTGTAGATGACCCACCCCTGGAAGTGTTCAGGTCAGATTGGATGGGGCTCTGTACAACCTGGTCTAGTTGAAGGTGTCTTTCCCCACAACAGGCTTTGGAACTAGATGATCTTCAAGGTCCCCTTCCAAGCCAAACCATCCTATGATTCTATGCTGCTTTCAGTCAGATTCACGCACATGCAGTGGGTGTATCTGGTTGTTCAAAATCCCACCGTGGTTCAAAAATAGAAGCACCTACTCAGTCCCTCCGAGTCCAAACTTAAGGTATCATACAGATTTAAGAGAGGCAGCAGTTTATAAATGACATGTTCATCTGTTCATCTAACTATGCAAAATATTGCCATGGCAGCTATTGTTGTACCTGCTGGGTGGTCAGGCCTTTTGGAAACCTATCTGCTTGGTGCATGATGGTCTTGTGCATCTCCATGTAGGAGAGTGTGGGGTGGAAGAACGATATTAGTGGCCAGTATTTGCAGCTGGATACAGGTGACTAATACTATCTGGGTTTTTTTGTTACTGACTGAGAGTAGACTTGAATCATGTGGTTCCTTCAGCCAGGTAGTTTTATCATCAGCTGCTCCAGCAGTTCTCTTTTGCAGTCACAACAGATAAGGGCAAGAGTTTTCAAAAAAAGGAGAGATGTCTAGCAAACTTTCTGACCTGTTTTTTATGCTGTCTCAAGTTTCATTTTGGCAGAAGGTTATTCAGTTGGAAGAAATGCAATCAGTCTGGGGTTTCAGAATTGTTTAAAGACAAATTATGATATTAGAATAAATGTTGTTATTAATTTTTCTTGCTGTAGAGTGTTAAATGATGACTATGCAAAGAAGCTATTGAAATGTTCATCTGAAAGAAAAGCAGATAGCCAATTTAATAATCTTAGCATCTTCATTTGTAGTCTTATTCCTTGACCAGAACATATTTAACTCTATGACACAATATAGATCCTAGTCCTATTATAAGAACATTATTATATGAAAATTATGATTTTCTGAAGATTAGTTTCTGCTTTATTTAACAAATAAATATCTCTGGACAAAATCCTGTATCAGACTAAAGCATAAAGCTGCTCACACTTACCTTGCTAAAAAATTAGTCCAGTTGCAGATGTGATATATACAGACTAACTAACTTGGCAGCTATTTTGACTAGCAGGTTTAGGAGCTAGTATAAAGCATACAACCTGCTATATTCTGATTTTCAGACATTATACCTGTATGGTTAAAAACCAAATCAAACCAAAAGCTTACACCTTAGTTTTTTTCCAACAACAAAGTCTATAATTCTGCTCCACAAAGTTGTATTTCATTTTGTTGACACAGAACTGGTGGATGAGCCATCTGTCCCCTTTCACATATCAAGGCTAGCAGCCACAGTATAGACTATTCTAGGGCAGAGCTGGTTTATGTATGCTGTCTAGGAGTTGTATCCTCTATATCTGTATAAAAATCTCAAGCTCTCTTTCTTTAGTTTTGAAATCTATTGCTTAAGAAAAGACATGAAGCACTTTATGTGTGCAATGCAGATGGATCTTTAATTTAAAAAATGAATATTGAATATATAACTAGTAATTAACTATTCAGAGTTTGAAGATGAAGCTACCAAATCCCTAGGTATTATTAAGTGATGAGATAGCTGAGAGCATAGTTCCAATTAGGTTAAGTAATATAGCAGGGAAACCAGGTCCTTCATCACTCAGCACTAACAGAGAACAAAGTAGTGCTATAACTACAAGAGATTCCTTTTCCTTACTTCCATACATTGAGTAATAGGGCTCTCATTGAGGAGTAAGGACTGAATCAGCACTTTGGTGCACTAATCACTGCTTAAGTTTGCTCTTTGCCTCATTCTAAGACCTGTGCAAAATTCATTGCTGGTTGCAAAGTGCTTTGTGACCCCAGGTGAAAGAATACTCCATGTTCGCCTGACAAATAGTTGGCTTTTTCTTTAACTGTGCCATGCAAATGACAATTTCAACTTTTACAAAACGGTCTGTTTTTATCTCAGCCCAGATGAATAACATTTTCAGGTAGACTTTAAATTTTATAAAGTGTCAGGAAAGAAGAAGTACATCATTTGGCAGATGTTTGGAAATGAAAACTAAGGGAGAGTAGTGGTTTCTCACTTTTGCTCAACATTCCTTGGGAGTTTCAGGATCTTAGTGCATCTCATTTCAGCTTCCATTTGCAGGAATACAGTAAAAGATAAAATCACTTTTGACAGAAAGCTTGTTACCTGCCAAACATGAAAACTCCAGTGTGCATCACAAATCAAAATCAGAATTCATTTAACTCTTTCTTCTCTTTTTATTGCTTAGGGAGGTAAATTATGAAAAATGAATTGTAATTTTTGAATTTTCTCTGGTATTGATTGCAGTGGAGAATGACACTTTATTTCATTTATGCTATTACCTTCTTTAGTTGTTTTTTGAGTAAGCAGAAGTAGTTCTGTTGCATAAGACTGACTCTAGCGTGTAATTAATTCATGATGAAAGGCTGACAAATCTGCTAATGAAAGTCCAGTAAATTTTCAACTAAGTGTAACTGATAAGAGCTTTCCTGAATACAAGTTTTTACTTGCTGATTCTCTGTAACGCTAGGAAAAAACAACAGTTGCAACACTGGTGCAAATATAAAGAATTGTTACCCATATGAAGGCTATTGTTCTGTTTCTGATGATATTCTGATATACTGACAGTATGTCTTGGGAAAACAGACCCACTTACCACACCAAACATAGCTGATAAAGAAGGAATAGCCATGTAATATTGTAAGCAGGATCTCGGCAGCTAACTGTTTTATTCTCCAGTCAGAAATACAATTAATCGCACTTGTAAGAAGCTCAACAGACTAGAATACATTTTTCATAGACCACTTATACCTTTTAACTAACCAAACCGTAACTGATATTTGTGAACTACAAAGGGGATCACTGCATGACTTAACTGCACCTGGCTATGTTTAAATGTAAAATGAGTCAGAGATCCCTGTATGTATGTATGTATTATTATTATCACGCTATTATCAGTCTCTCCATCAGTCCAAGGATACCAAAGGAATATTTTAGAAATAATGAGTAAGGGACTGGTGAAAGAGAGGAGTGAAGAAAAAGACGGAAAGGATACAAATCTTTTTTTTAAAAAACTTCATTTGCCTTTCCAGAGAATAGTAAACAGGGTACTCCAAAACTGCTGCCAAGTTAAAAAGAAATGGACCAGAGTTGACATAGTAATTTCCATGACAGCCATTTGCTGCTGATCACACAAGTCTTTCTCTGCAGTATGAAGTATTCTATCGAGCGAAGCAGCAGTGATTACAGACAGACAGTGCCAGCGTGCTCAAACCAGGACTCATTTGGAGCCATGTTATTTGCTAACTTTTCCACATGATCTGAGATATTGAACTCCTTCATCTTTATCTGCCCGTTTCCAGCAAGTCCTGCTCTAGTTCAGTTCTGACTAAAGCCATCCTTACAGAATATTCTCAAAGAGGGCATGAGCTGCCCAGTGATCCTCCGTGAACAGGTAACATAGGTTCAAACATCACGAACAGTGTGGTAAACAACAAGCAAAATGAAAAACTACTCATAACAAGAGAAAATAGAATTTTGGCTCAACAAATGCTGTTTAAGACAAATGTATTGTGGGGTTTTTTTTAACAGTTCAGGGTGTCAACATGGGAAACAGTACATAAGTAAATAGAATTACCACTGAAGTCTGAGCATGTAGAAGAACAAAACATTTCTTCTCAAGAGAATTAAACATATTTGAAAAATCCTACTCATATTATTAGAAAACAATCTCCAAAGTAACTTAAACTGTGAATTGACAATAGAAAAATAAATATGCCAGAAAAATACTAGCCATTTATTCAAATATTTCATACCTACAACCACATATAGGCAAGTCTAGAGTTCTTTTCGGTCAAGTGACCAAACACTAAGTGCTAATCAGAACTCTTTCAAATTGACCTACATGCTCTCTTCTTTTATTTCCAGCCCTTCTTCTTGTTTTGAATAGAAACAGAAAACAGAAAGGCCCAGAAAAAAAATGTAAAAATTGAACAATGTTTTTTAAACTTTAGAAAAAGTTCCATTTTTTAGAAATTCAATTCTCATTTTGCTCAGTCTGTTTCTCCCTGTTGCTAGCAATAAAGAGATAGAAGTGAAATAAATACTGATCAGATGTTGAATAATAATTGTTTTTCATACCCCCTACATATAACTGTTATCACCAGGTGGTAACACATAACTGTTAAACAGGAAATTAAATTATGTAATCTAGGACAAATCTTCTTCTAAGAATAGAGACTTATTCTCAGATTTCCAGAGCTTTCATTTTGTTTAGAATTGTGTAATTAATACTAACATTCTTTTCGTGACCCATCTGTGATCCATTGTTTCAGTCCTCTGATCTTCCACACTATTTACAGACACACCTTCAGGCAGGCAGATGCTATGCAGCTCAAGCCATACATTTTTAATTTACTGATAGCACCATTTCTTTAGGTGACATGCAGTAGACTTTTTGTTTCTCTTTTACATTAATTAGTTTCTGTTTTCAAGGTACATTGAAGTAACAGTCACCTTCCAATTTGCCTGTTCTCTAACTTTGTGTTGTCTGTTAGTAGACGCAGAAAATGTGTGGAAATGATAAACTGTGAACTATTTTTTATATTCACATTTAGTTTGACTTCTCAATTTTCCAGATATTTTAAAATCACTGTATCTTACTCGTGTCAAAGGCACATTGCATAAACTGTTATGCTGATGTTCTGTCAGTAGAATCTTCAGAAAACTGTCTCCAGCTAAACAGCTGAAAACAGCCAAAGTAGAAATTAATTTCTTTCCTTTTCCTTTCTCATTGATGTAACACAGTCATAATCCTCACTGGGATAATTTAAAGCTGTGTCCTCTTAGTTTTGCACAGATCAGACATGCTACTTGAGCCAAAATAAGTATAATATGCAATGAAAGTTCAAGCCAAAATTTATTCCTAAATTAAAATATCTCCAAGTGGTCACAGGATTCATGCAACAACATAATCCTGTACATTTTTTTAGACATCACAACCGTGTTCAGTCCTGTCACAACACAAGCCATATCTACTAGAAATAATGTTTTTCTTGCAGAAGAGGGAAGTTTCAGTTTGAAGACTGGCATGCCACCATGCTTCACGGCTACCGTGTTTTCTGCGGACTGGGTGTGAATTTTAGTGCAAATTATTTAAACATAATCAAGTCTTTAATTATTTTAGTAAATTTTGTATCTAATGATTTTTAAACAACTTGCATCAAGCACTGCAGGAGGTGAGATAGAAAACTGATGAGTGGATACTGGGAGTAAATGGGCAAAACACTATAGGTTACTGGTGGGGGAAGCAAAGGTGTCCCCTCCCCTCCCCTCCCCTCCTTTCCCCTCTTGTAACTGAAGTCTCTTTGGAGAAACCACTCTGAATACAAAGTTGATAGGATGAAATTACGTAGCATCCTTGTCAAGTTATTCTGTAGGCATATCTGAAAAGATGAAGCTAACCAAGAACCAGAACTAGTGGAAACCAAGATCATGACAAACGATACTGTCTGGGTGGTAGATACCGAGATAAAGTAACTAATTTTCAGAAAATCTCTGGTGATAATTATACAAGGCCTGTGACTGCAAATATATGGGATTGGGTGGAGAGGAATAAAATAGGATTGCTGATATCGTAGAGGGAATTCAGGAGATAAATCAACTACTTGTAGAGAAAAACTGAGTTTATCCATGAGATGCTGGAGAAAGCTTCCTGCTATCTGGATTCACAGAGACATGTTGGAGGAAAATGCAAGACCTGTGATTGTCAGTTTTTGGAATATTGTTTGGGAGCCTGTGAAGCTGATGTGTTGGCTGTGGACAAGCTCTCCAATAGTTTATTTTCAGTTTTTTTAAGATGGTTAGGTAAATGTGTTCACTTGGACTCGGAGAATTTCTCAACAAACCTACCAGAGAAGGAAGTAAAGCTTTGAATTCAACACATTTCAGACATAAACTGCGACCAATACAAAGTGCCAGACGGCCAGAGTTCATCTGAAATGGTGGCACTCTCCATGCTCCATGGCAATTCACGGCAATGATCTTCATAGGAAAGGGCAAGATGTGTGTGACACTTTCAGTGAGTATAAATGCCCAGAAGAAACCAGAAAACTGTGTTCTTCACAAACGCCCCTAGTTTCAGCTGGGGACATCTATCTGCTTAGTAGTGTGAGTCCTCTAAGGAGGTACTATCTACTTCTGAGCTGGCACCATGGAAATCTCTAGCTTCCAGCCACTCCTGCAACCTGCCTGCATCACAGGTTTGTAATTTTGACCTTATATAACTCTTACGAAAAGGTAAGGACTGCACTTAAATTCATTCCTCAATAGCTCCCAGAAATGTCAAGTGTGGCAGTGAAGTACTCTGTCTTGAGAGAATAAAGCCAAAAGTGAGAGTGGAGAAGAAATACTTCTGTATGCTGGCAGTACTGGAGGAAGTAAAATTTCTCATGGAGATGTGGAAAAACTGGGTGTTCATTTTTGAACTTTTTTTAAAAAGAAGGACTTTGATCTGGAAGACAGATGAAGAGCAATCAGGCTTGCTGGAGGGAAAGTGAAGCTTAGTCTGCAATCTGGTCAGCTCTCTGAAGTAAAGAGAGAAAAAGGGACAAGGGAAACAGGAGTTTTCAATTACAGCTTGAATTCATAAGTTTTGGCTAAGCCAGATAAATGGGAGCATGTAGGGATTTTTTTACACTGTATTTCAACTACACCTGTTGGTGACAAATATTAAGAATAATCCATTTGTTTATTCTTTCGAGTGCAGCTTTAAAATACTTGTATTTTAAATACATCTATGGTGAATTTTCTTTGTAACTTTCTTTTAGCCAGAAGAACAAACTGTAGGATAATTTCCACCAGAACTTCAGTCTAGACCACAAGAGAATTTGAATTTTTGCAAGATTTTTGCAGTTTTTACCATTTAATTTTCCTAAACTTATCTGCTCATCTGCACCTGACTGGTACACTCTAGGTCTTAAGAACTGGTACTAAAATTTAATAAGCATTCCTAATTAGCATTTGTTTTGTGCAGTCAAAGGCTCAAGAAGCAGATCAGGGAGCTAATATCTCCTGTAACACTGTAACACAATTCTGCAGAACTATGGGTTTCAATTTCCTGATCCAACGATTTCATCAAACAAAGAGAAATTGTTTATATCGCCAGCAGATTGTTCAGCTGAAAGCCATTTATCAAACATAGCAGATAATCAAACCTCAGTAACCCTAGCTTCTAGCTCTCCTACTAGCACTGCACCTGTAGAAAACAAATGTTTCCCTGGTTGGATGCCAGGTTACAACACACTACAATCAGTCTTGCAATAGAGAGTAAGCACAGAGGGGAAATACGGTATAATCCAATGCCAAAGAAAATCCATTTTTAGGACTGGTTCTGGCTGGAGTTTGCATGATGCAGAATCACAGAATCATTTTGAGTTGGAAGTGACCTTAAAGCTCATCTAGTTCCAACCACCCTGGCACAGGCAGGGATGTCACTCACTACACCAGGTTGCTCAGAGTCTCCTCTAACCTGGACTTTAACACTCCCAGGGATGGGCAATTCACAACTTCTCTAGGCAATGATGTTTTCTGTATAGTTTAAGGTAGGTATTAAGCATGTTCATATTAAATATACTGTAAAACAGCTATGAATAACAAAAACTACTTATCAGAAACAGCAGCATTTCCCCACTGAGAAACTGAGTTTGTTTTACTGCAAAAAAAGTCTTAACATCATCTGAGACATGTTCCCTGCCTCAGAAGAGCCATTTTGCAAATACTGTGTTTATAAGTAAAGTAATCCCAGCACCTTTTCTCTTGTATAAGACAAGTCTTTTTACTCTTAAGTGAATTGATAAGGAGAGTAACAGATGAACTGGCTGTTTGATGAGCAGCATCAGAGCAATTATTAACTTTCTTTACTCTCTCCTTTCCCAATCACTTATCTTCAGAGCTGACAATACAGTTACTGAACTAACAGCTGAAAGAATGAGGCTGGATTGTGACATGGCCCTGCCACTGAAGGCTGAGAAGCACTCAAGCTCTCAGTGAAGATGAAGATCAATATCAGAAAAAGCAAGTGTACTTCCCATGTGGTCTGAGACCACTTTGCTCACCTGAAAAGTATTTTTTTGTAAAATACACACACTGAGAAACTCCTATGGAACTTTGTCTGGGTGAATAGTCACTGATGTTTGCCCAAGGAATTGTAGTCCAGGAGCTAGAAAATAATTTTATGAAATATAAATAGTGAATGCCTTGTAAATGACAAAGCATTCCCTTCATCACATTTACTATTACAAAGCTGAATCTTGGTTACCAAGTAAAACTGGCTAAAAACCTCAAAATGTATCTGTAACATCATTCAAAAAAACCTGATATAAAATAATCATCCCAGAGTAATTCTTTTCCTGGCTTACAATGATTGATACACTCAAAGAAATGAAAGCAATGTGACAACACTCAGGTCCTGATTTAAAGTCCTACTTAGTCCAGGAAATATTTGGCTGCAGTCATATTTTGCAGGAGAGACCATAATAAGGTTGAAAGATAGTATATGAGGTTTCAATTGTCTATTTTGGTGTGAGATCCCACAGCACTCTTTGAAAACGAAGGAGAAAGTTATCATACGCCTTGCTGAAACTTGGTGTAGGCATTTCCTGACTGCTGCCTTAATATTGCACTGGGAGTTTCCTGCTGTAAATGGCAAAGAACAGAGTCTGCCTGTCCTAAAGAAATAATTGCATGTTATTTTTGCATGGTGATTGTGCTGGTTGATGAAAATTTTCTGAAATAAATTTCTCTGGCTAATGCTGTTTAGAAAATTGCACTATACTGAATTATGTTGGATTTTTCTGATATGGGCCAAATCATAAAGATGCAGTGATAGGACTAGGGAGAATGACTTCAAAGAAAAAGACTGAGAAATACTGTCAGTTTAGCTTAGGTATTTAGGAAGACATTCTCTACTTTGAGGTTGGTGAGGCACTGGAGCAGGTTGCTTAGGCAAGTTGTGGATGCCCCATCCCTGGAAGTTTTCAAGGGCAGGCTGTATGGGGCTTTGAGTGACCTGGTCCAGTGGAAGGTGTCCTGCCCATAAAAGGGGGCTGCAACTATGCGATCTTTGAATCTACTACCCAAACCACCATTCTATGATTTTATGATTTTCTTTGTACTGGTAGTGGAAATTTCAAAGTCATTGGCAGTCAAACTTTTTTACAGGCTAACTGCAAAAAGATTACCTGTGGAACCATGTGTCTGGCTCTAATATTTTATTGCTATTTGTGTTGTGCTCCATGACATTGCATTTTTTCCTCTATTTATAAGGCTGATGAGAGGGGAGGAGGACACTAGCAAACTGGAACACAGAGATCTCTGCAACAATGAAGGGTTTTTAAATAATAATAACAGGCTCAGCTATTACCTGTCTCAACCTACTTCCTACTACTCTATCTGAAGTAGCTTCATAATCGTCACAGGACAGTTTAGATACAACTAGTCTAGCTTCTGCTAAATACAGGAATGGTTCAAAGAACTCTACAATGGACAGATTGATGGACAGTCCATGTTTCAAACAGCTTCTAATGCCTCATGTAAACTGCTGGAGAAAAAGCTATTTTCAGTAGCTCCTGCCTCTTCCCCTTCAGTCTTTGTGGGGAGTGTCCTTACACAACAAAGAAATGCTTCTCCTTTATTATGAACTGGTAAAAACTAGAGTAACATTTCCAAGAGTCTTCCCAGATACTCTCTTTTTTTTTTAAGAATTTCTCAGAGATGTCAGATTGGTGAATATGAGGAGAAAGAAATAAGCAATGAGCAAATGAAAGAGGGAAATAAGCATTATATTACAGAATTGTTTCTTCTCAGGAGAATTGCAGACTAGGTTAGAATTAATCACAGGAACATCTTTTGCTTCTGATTTTTGAACATTTAATTTTTTTCCTATCATATGCAGAATGGCATAAATAAATGAATAAGAAAATACTGATAGACCTTTTGACGCTTAATAAACAAAATCCAATTAGGCATGTACAGATATGGATCTTCTTTCAACTAATTAGAACATATTTTTCATTTATTGGAAATAAATTTTGTGCTGGCTGACTTCACAGCATTGCTGTGCCTTGTTGAAGAGAAGCTGCTTTTACCCCCAAGTCAGTGCCACGCCTGTATCAGACAGTTTGACTACATGTACAGAAGCAGAGGCATCAGGGTCTAGCAGAGACCATGAACCCTGGGGACATAACCTGTTCTCTTATCCGAGCTCAGGTCACCTGCTTGTATGGGTGTGTGCTGGATGAACAGTAATAAGGACACTGGAGGTAAGCTCAGTTGCAGTCTTTGTACCTTCTGAACCAGAAGATGGCTGAAGCATTGCAAAGAGCAGGGAGAGGCCAGGTCATGCCCTGTACTCCTTTGCTGTGGTACTATAAGTATTTTTACTGCTTTGAAATAAGAACACTTTGATATCCCTTGAACAGCAGTCTGTGCCAGAAAATATGTGGGAAAGTCTCCAGTGGCAGAAAAAGAGAGATGATGTTATATTGTACTATTTGCAAAAGAGAAAGGGTTGCAGAAGAGAAAGGGTAACATCACACATATACGTGGTGTCAGAGGATAGAAAGCGTTCCTTTTGGTTTTGTTTTTTTAGCATACTGTCAAGTGATTTCAGGATGAAAGGAACAGTATAAATATCACATGAAATATTATTATTACTTTTGTTATTTTCTTCTGACATCCCCAAAATTGATATACAGCCTAAAAAGTACAAATTAATTACAAACATATATATACTATAACAATGTCTGAGGTATAATTGCATCCTATATCTATTTTACACTGCAGTTGAACAATTTTGAGGATGTCAACCTTCAGGAGGTAAAATCACTGTTTTACAATCAGCAGTATGTGGTGTGTGTGTAGATGAGTGACAACAGTTGCCCAGGAGTTAGAAGATAAGAGAATTCAAGACATTGCTGGATCGCAGCCCTCCTCTATAACTGAGACCGGTTTCTCAGTGTTATCTAGCCCTGTGAAATGCAACCAGGAAAAAATGAGATGTTTCATGCCCTGAATTGCGACAGAGGCAGAGGAGCCCGTGCTTCAGGCTTTTGGAAATTGATGTATTCCTAGGGCTGCTGTTTGTGGGGAAGGTAAGTTACAGCATACAGCCCGACAAAAGCCACACAGGTGTTTGTGCTATTTTAAAAGCTGAGGAAAACAGTGACTTCCTTAGAGAAAGCAAAACTAGTAACTATACTTGGGAGTGCCCCAGACTCTCTGACTACCTTGTTTAGGAGTGCAGCTCTTGGTGTCCTCACTTGTAAATTGGTATTGATAGACCTTCTCAGCTTGCCGATGGTTATGAGGAGGGTAACTGGTGATATCATTCCATTGCCCCAGGGGGTCACAGACTACAAGTCATGCAGTTATAGTCCCTTTAATTACCAAAACCATGTAAGAAAAAGTATAGTGTTTTTGAAGGTATATATTTAAGAGAAAGTCAGTACATGCTTTGACTTGAGTATACGACTTGCACTATTGAAGAAGTCAGTCTTCATTCTACACAGCTTCTATAAAATGCAATTTTCTGAATTTAATAAAGTTCTGAATTTTACTGAAAATACTGATGTAGTGCTAGGTCCTTGAAGACAATGCAAATAGGACTGTAATCTTAATGTAACAAGCACTTAAGAGAGAGTGTAAACTTAAATTTAAGCGCAAATTGTGCTTTGCTGTGTGAGAGCTCATGAAGGGTTGGAACTGCAAACAGTAAAGTGAAAGGGAACATTATTTTGTAACAAGAGTGCACTCCATGGCTGGGGACCACTTGCAATTCCTCCTGAATGTGTAAATTACTTATGTCAATGAAGTCTGTTGGTTGGAAGAGGTCTTCTGACCAGCGAATCAATTCTTCCTGAGAAATGACATTAAACCTTTAATCTGAACCAGGCAACCAACAGGAAGAATGGACTGGTTCCCAACTCCATTAGCATTGTACCATGCTGTTTTGATGGCAAATACTGTCGTTTTTGCTACAACACAAACCTTCAATCTCCTTCAATCTCATTCAAAAAATGTTGCATGTTGTCATGTAAGCAAAGACCTGAGGAAAAGTATGTTTTTCATTAAATGTTATTTAATGAAAACATTTCTGAAAACATGTATGTTCTGATGAAGTGTCATGTAGAAAAAAATTGAAAATTTTTGTTCACAGTTTTGACTTTAAAATAATCTTTCAGAAAGTATTCATTACTTTTACTATGTGTTTTGAAAGCATTTTAGAACTCAAAAGCTAGTAAAAGCTGGAAAATCTTGCAGAAATTAAATCCTTAAATTGCTTTTTTTGTCCACAGAACTTCTTCAACAAAAAAGTCATAGCTGTTTTCTTCTCTTCTTTTATGAGTGTAAAATAAAAACAGAAAGTCCAAACCAGATTATGATCAGAAATTAGTGTTAGACCACAATTCTTCTTGCCACTCAGTTATTGGCAACAATTCAAGCTATAAGCCACATAATGCCAATTATGAAGTGAGCAGCTTAACTCAAAGCTTTTAGATATGCAAGCATACGTATATATGTATATATTCATTTTCTCTTAGCATTTTCTTTTGATATTATGAAAGCTTCATTTAAGCACTGAAGAATCTGGCACAGGGTTTGTAATGTGCTCTAGACTGCTGCCTCAGCCTACTTAGTGGACAGTAGATACTTCTCCCACTCTGATAGTATCTAATTACAGAGCCAAGGGGTGCATATTTCAATAGAACACTCTGAGAAGTTGAAAGATGATATTCTGAGACAGAGAAGGGCATATCAGCCATTGATTTAGGTTACAGAAGCAATTCACTACCGCATGAATAACATTAGTTGAATGTTATATCTGAACATACTAAAAACCTTTAAAAATCTCATATGTTTTAAAGCATTTCAGCTTTATCAGTTTTTACACCATCTCATCAATCGTAGCAGAAAAACATTCTACTTTTGCTAGAATGCAATTGCTAATATTTAATACAAAGTATAGAGTAGGTTTGGTGATTTTTTTCTTTTGTTACTTTGTACTTAAAAAAAAATCAAGTGTAAATTTGTGGGTGGTGCCACCACTGAAATTAATTACATATGAATATGAACGTAAATAGCTTTTCTTTTCACACCAA